CCTCCCAGGCCAGGGACCGCAAGATGGTGGGCGACACCGTCGGGGCCCGGAGCTACGCGGCCACCGCCAGGTGCCTGAACGCGTGGGCGCTGTGCCTCGGCCTCCTGCTGAACGCCGGCGTCCTCGCGCTGCTGGTCTACGTGGGCTTCGCCGTGCACGCGGCCGTCCAGCGCGCCGGAGGCTACTAGCGGCCGCCCTGTGCCCAGCCGCCTTTTGTGGCCACGAAATAGTAAACAGCTGCCCCCCAGTCGTGTCCAGCTTGTCACTTGGGGCAGCGAGCGGACCCCTCACCGGCCGGGCACATCCAAGGAGAACCGCACCTCAGTCCACAGTGGCAGGGCTGTGGGGGCCCCAGGCCTCAGCCCCTGCTGGCGACCACAGAGCCCGGCCCAGGGCGCCAGCAGGGTTCTGGGGAAGTGGGCATGGGGTGGGCTCGGCCCTCTGGCCGTGGGCTCTGGCCACCACTCCCTGCCCCTGGCACCTGCGCCTGGCACGTGACCCTGCAGCCCCCGCAGGGGCCCGCCTGCCCAACGGAGGTGCACCCCGCCTGGCGCCCCCCACCCAGCTGGGCCCGGGACACCACACCCGCGCCCCGGGCCCCTGCCCCCCTCTCTGGTGGCCACGAGTGGCCCTCGGGGATGTCGCCCACAGTGACTCGGTGGGTGCTGGCTCTGCTGGAATCCGAGGGCCTCGGGCAGGGCCCAGTCCCCCCTGCTGGGCTCAGGGCCCCGCTTCTGGGCTGACCCCTTCCCTGGGTGTGGCCCCACGAGGGATGCACCTCAGCCTGGATTCCAGAGGTGCCCTGGCCTGGGGCAGAGACACATCTGCCCCTACCTGGACGCCTCCCCCAGGGGGCCTGTGTCCAGGAGTTTGTAGGGCTCACCACAGGCCCAGCAGGCACGGAAGCTCCCCTGCCCCCCCACACCGTCCTCTCTGAAGACTGCCCCTGGGGACCCCCCATCCCACTGCACCCCAGTCAGGAAGGCCTTCGGCTCCTCACACCACCTCCCGGAGACCAGCCTGGCTCCTGGGCAGGGCAGGGAGGCCCAGGGCCTGGCGACAGTCACCCACTCACCCTGGTGCCCCTCAGTACATCTGGTCTGCCCCCCTTGGGCAGCTCGGAGTGGCGGCTGGAGCGCTCCACTCCCCCCTGCCCCCCCAGTAACTCACCGGCCGCCGGCCTGAGGGAGCCAGGAGCAGCGGCCTCAGGGCTCAGGAGGGGGCAGGATGCTCCCCTGGCTGCCCACCCCGAGGTGCCCCCCCGCAGGCGCCATGGGGGAGCCTCCCAGGAAGTTGGGGTCCCCGGGGTGAAGGGGGCGCCAGCCCG